CCCCTGCTGCTTAGAAGGCGCGGGCCTCGTCTGTAGACGTCAGGCCCGCGTCTTGTAAGAAGCAGCCTGCTTTTAAGATGCCTTCTCCTTTCCCCTTCCTCCTTTTGCGCGCCGCCAAAACGTAATCGGGTAAACATAAGACTCGAGTACGCCGGAACTCGGGCTTGCCCACGCTTTTTGACGGGCGCGTCGTGGATTTTGATGGTCCAGTGCTCGTGGGTTGTTGGCAGCGGGAGTTCACGTCAAATTTCAGACTGGGTCTCGTCATTCTTCATGACGGCCCCGTCAGGCGGACCCGAGTCCCCCGAGTCCGAGTCTTGCGTCTCTCCCTGACGTGAGACTTGAGTACACTGGAACTCGGGTTTGCCAAAGCTTATTGACAAGCACGTCCTGGATCCTGGCGGTCCAGTTTTTGTGGGACGTTTGCAGCGGGAGCTCGCGTCAAATTTCAGATTGGGTCTCGTCATTTTCATGATGGCCCCGTCAGGCCAACCCCAGTCCCGGAATCCCCCGATCGTGGCACTCCAGGCCTCGCAAGCGGGGTCCGAGTAGATTTGGTTGGAGGATTGCGCCGCATCGCCGACGCATCGGCGATGCGGCTCGATCTGGAGGCCGGTTTTCTCCACCTCGACGTTGCCGATGCGTCGCCGATGCACGGGCCAAGCGGCGCGATCTCCCGACCCCCGTCCATACTTTCGGGCGTGTCCCTCTACAGGGGGAATGTTCAAACATAGTTGACAAATAGTCTGGGGACGACGTTTCTATTATTTTGCAGTTTTTTTGTTATAAACAAATAAAGAATAGTATTTTTGATTTTTCGCCCAAGATCCGCCTGTAGGAGGACACGCCCGACCTAAATCTATGCGCGGCTCCCAGCTGGGAGGCCTCCAGGCACGGAGGCGCCCCCCTCCGGCCTCTGCTCGCGAGCGGCAGCCACCGCCCCTCTCCGCGCCCTCGCGGCCTGGATCCCCCGGGGGGCCGTGGGCCTGTGCCGCACGGGGGGCTCCCCCAACGAAAGGGGCCCCAGGACACACACAAACAAATACACACAAATAAAAAGATTCCCCATATTTTCCTATATTTTCTGGGTTTTTGTCTTCCCCCCCACTTCCCATATTTTCCAATATTTGCATGGTAATCGACGATTAATTGTGTCTGTCTGTTTTGTCCCCTCCTGACCAACGGGGCGGAGACCACACCGCGTGGCGAGTCGGTGGGGGTTCGGGGTCGCCGCGCGGTCTTGTGACTCGGGTCGTGTTCCGAGGACGTCTCGTGCGGCTGGGGCATCCGAGGTCTCAAAACCGTGCGCTGACGGAGCGTGCGGTGAGGTCTTGGGGGATCTCGAGGTCACCGCACGGTCTGTCAACGCACCGTTTCGGGACTCCAAACACACCCCCGACGTCGTGAATTTGTCAAAACGTCGACTCCCAGAGGTTCGACCCCTGGGACCAGTTTTCCGTCCCGAGTCGTTCTTTGACGGCCCCGAGGCCCGGTAGGGGCCCCCAGGGGCCGAAAGGAGGGAAAGGCCTCCTTCGCGATTTTTTCACAACGCGAGGGGGACTGGGGGCGGACGTGCGGGCGCACGGGGTGCGTCCCGCCCCAGGGCACCTGCAGCAAGAGTTATTAGGTCGGGCACGTCCTCCTACAGGCGGACTCTGGAGCACAAACAACAGATGGCCAAACAGTGTTCAGGCGTATGCGAAAACCAGTCGAGGAACCGACCCCAGGAACCGTTTTTTTTTTTTTTTTTTTTTTTGTTTGTTTTTTCATATTTCAGATTTTTTCCCCCCTGCAGAGGGACGTGCCCGGCTTGAAGCCAGGAGGCGCCTCCGCACCCGCGGGGCCGCGGCCCGAGGGGCGCCCCCCGCCGGGCCTCTTTCGGTGGTGGGGCCTCGCACGCGGAGCCCGGCTTGAGCCGGCTTGGGCCCGGAGCACGGCGCCGCCTCCTCCTCCTCCTCCTCCTCCTCCTCCTCCTCCTCCTCCTCCACCCTCCCTCCTCCAGCCTCCTCGTCCTCGTCCTCCTCCTCCTCCTCCTGCCTTCTCCTCCTCCTCCTCCTCCTCCTCCTCCAGCCTTCTCCTCCTCCTTCTCCTCCTTCTCCTCCTCGTCCTCCTCCTCCAGCCTTCCTCCTCCTCCCTCCTCCTCCTCCTCCTCCTCCTCCTCCTCCTCCTCGTCCTCGTCCTCCCTCCTCCTCCTCCTCCTCCTTCTCCTCCTCCTCGTCCTCCTCCTCCTCCTCCTCCTCCTCCTCCTCCGCCAGCCTTCTCCTCCTCCTCCTCCTCCTCCTCCTCCTCCTCCTCCAGCCTGCTCCTCGTTTTCCTCCTCCTCCCTCCTCCTCTCCTCCTCCTCCTCCTCCTCCTCCAGCCTCCTCCTCGTCTTCCTCCTCCTCCTCCTCCTCCTCCTCCTCCAGCCTCCTCCTCGTTCTCCTCCTCCTCCTCCTCCGCCAGCCTTCTCTCCTCCTCCTCCTCCTCCTCCTCCTCCTCCTCCTCCTCCAGCCTCCTCCTCGTCTTCCTCCTCCTCCTCCTCCTCCTCCTCCTTCTCGTCGTCGTCCTCCTCCTCCTCCTCCTCCTCCTCCTCCTCTTCCTCCGCGTGGCTGCGCCGCCCGCCCACGGCCTGCGGCCTCCTCGCGCCGCGCGGGCTGCCACCCCCGGCCCGGCGGGCTCCGAGCTGCCCGCCGCCCGGGCCAGCTGTCCCTACGTCGGGCACGCCCCTTCTACAGGAGGAATGTTCAATCATAGTCACAAAATAGTCTGGAGACGATGTTTCGAGCATTTGTTGTTGTTGTTTTTTTTGTTGTTGTTTTTTGTTGTTTTCCACTTTGGGGTCTTTTTCCCATATCTTTTAGTTTTCGTCGAACATCGGCCTGTAAGGGGACATGCCCGACCTAATCTTGCGTCGGGCATGTCCCTCTACAGGGGGGATGTTCAAGAATAGTCCAGAAAGAGTCTGGGGACGATGTTTCTGCTCTTTCTGGATTGTTTGTGGGAGTATGTTTGGACGTTTTTTTTAATTTTCTCCTCCAAGGTCCGCCTGTAGGAGGACCTGCCCTACCTGAAGCTGCCACCCCAGGGGGAGCTGACCGTGCAGCAGAGCTGCACAGCGGGCAGCGGGGCAACAAGGGGCGTGCTGCCGTCTGCCGTGCGTGCGCCGGAGTGCGACTCTGCGCCCCCCCCCCAGCTCTCGGAAGCGCCTGCTGCCTGCAGCAGCGGCTGCTCCGAGTCTGCCTTTCGCCTCCGGCGCTCCTCCTCCTCCTCCTCCTCCCTCCTCCTCCTCCTCCTCCTCCGCCTCCTCCTTTTCCTCCTCCTCCTCCTCCTCCTCCTCCTCCGCCTCCGCCTCCTCTTCCTCCGCCGCCTCCGCCTCCTCCTCCTCCTCCGCCGCCTCCTCCTCCGCCGCCGCCTCCTCCTCCTCCATCCGCGGGTCCCTTCCTGGCGCTCCGTGCCGACGGGGAGGCCGCGGCCCGAGCTCGCCTCCATGATCCTTTATCACTGGCGCACACATATACATATATATATATATAGATATGTAAATGTAAGTATTTGTTTGTATGTATCTGTATATGTACAAGTGTACACCGAAGACACATACACATATATATATATACACACATAGATATGTACACCGAAGACACACATATATACACAAACACTATATTTAGTTTTTTATTATCCCCCCCACTCTATCTCTCTTTCCGGGCCACGGCCCTGCCAGTCCCGCTCTACTCAGACTTCAGCCCGCAGTATGTGGGGCCGGATGGGTGCTCGCCCCCTCGCTCCTGGCACTCTGCGACTGCCTGCGAACCCTGCGCTCGCGGGTCTGGCCGCCGCTGGGCCATCGGACAACCCCGCTGGGGTTCACCTGGCTGCGGGCATCCTTCAGATTTCCAACCCTGGCCAGCTCTTCTCGAAGAGGAAACACGCCATAAACATACATGTTTGGTGCTCCGCGTGGATTTCTTGGATCCGCGCTGGGCCCTCCCGGCGGCGCCTCCGGCGCCGCCCCTCGCGCGCTCCGCTCGCCAGGGAGGGGGGTCGGACGCAGATCCAAGAAATCCGCGCGGAGCGGCAAAAGTTTATGTTTATGCCGTTTTTCCTTTTTCTATTTTCAGACATCCGACCTGTGACACCCCGTGCCCAGACCAGCCCCAGACGTGCGAGGCCCTGACTTTTTCGGTGCGGGGCCCCCAGAAGTCCCGACCCCTCCCCCGGGGCCGGTTTTTGACCTCGAGCCGTTTCTGCTGACGGTGGTTGACGGTCCCAGGGCCCGGCGGTGGCCCCCAGAGGCCGGAAGCGGTCAAGAGCCGGACGCGAGCACGTTGGGGCCACCGCCCATCCATGTTTCCCGCCCGCCGCTCCGTGAGATGTATGGGACGACGTTCTCGCGGCGGTGTCCCGAAGGAGCTCCGACGCACCTCCGGCGTGAGCCCGATGTGAGTCCGACGTCGTCCGACGAGAGCCCCACGTCACTCCGACGCAGAGCCGAGTAGGGAGAGGGGGCCTTCAGGAAATTGGACACACACAGCCAGACCTCCATGGCTCCATTTCACTGCACCGCTCCACTACGTGCCAGGGGGCGCAGTGGCGGTCATAGAGGGTTTGTGAATCCTGCGCTTCAGCACCTGCGCAAGTGATTCGGTCAGTTCGGCCACGCACGCGCCAGAAGCCGACCCCCCTCCCCCCTTTCGTTAAGTCGGGCAGCCCTCTACAGGAGGAATGCTCAAAAGTAGTCACAGCATAGTATGGGGACGAACTGTCGTTATTGTTTGCGTCTATGACTGATTCTTAGTGAGGTATTTTTAATGTTTCTTCCAAAACCCGCCTGTAGGAGGACATGCCCGACCTATCCGTTTGACCCGTTGTCGACAAGCAGGAATAAACGCCGACTGGGTGCGGCAGACAGGACAGCTCTCTCTGGCGGCTGGCGGGGGTTGGGCTCCGACCGCCAATCGACCATTGATCGCCGATGGGGGGCCGATAGCCTCTACCTGCCCAGGAAGGTGCGGATTTACGATCGGGGGCCTATCGCCGATCTATCGGCAATGTATCGCCGATTCCAGGTTGATGTTTCCCCCCCTATGCCAGTCCCCGCCTATCGCTGCCTCTCAGAATATCGGGGACAGGTCCCGCACACAGCTTGGGTCAAAGTTCGTTTAGGATTAGCTCTCGAGTCTGTCCTGGGTGGTGTCCAGGAGGACCCTGGAGTGAGCTCGATGGGAGGTCTGCCCGAGGCGAAATGTATACAATTTGCTCGCGCGGGAGTGTGGCTGCCATTCGGGAGCCTCATATGCGCAAGCGGATATAAATCCACCATCTTTCGAGGAGTGGGTGGATTGGTGGGATAGACTGAAGAATCCGAAGGGCACGAGGTGCATCGACAAGCTCGTGGATAGCAAGTCTTTCCAAATAGTTTGTGCCCTCATCATTCTTGCCAACACGGTTTTCGTGGCCATCGATGCAAACACGCAGATGGGGAACTATGTGAACAAAGTCAACGACTCGTCCCAGGCCAAGGCCTCGCAGTACGTCTTTCTCGTTCTGTACATCATCGAGCTGACTTTGCGGGGCGTTTCGGAGGGGCGCTATTTCTTCTACGGTGAGAACATGAAGTGGAACTGGTCATCGTGGACGTTGAAAGTCGGTGCGCCTCGTGTGTCCCCACCAGCCCACCTGGCAAGAGACTTCTAGGCGGGGGGTACAGACCACAGAAGGGAATATCTGCCAAACCAAGACCGTGATTGTGAGGTCGCGCCGCGTTGACGCGCCGGCGACGCCAGCGCGGGCGGTCAAGGTTGAACGCCGTCGGTGGCCTGGAATTCGCCGACATCGTAAGTTTGTGCTGTCGGACAGCCGCACCCGTTCAAGGCCGAACCATCCACGCGTTCCCAGAAGCCAGCGCCAACGATGTCGCGACGTGGACCTGCCGCAGCACACCGAGCAGGCCTCCGAGAGACTGGACAGCAACTTGGCGGGCCTGAGAGCGTCCGCCCGCAGACCCCTGGAGGCTGCTGTCCAGGAAGTGGTAGGCGGAGAAGAGCGATGGACAACAAGATGGGGGACGCTTGTCGAACGAAGAGAGTTCAGACCAGTTTGGCCTCCGGGAGAGCTGCCAACCGCCTGGCGGACGGGCGCGCTCGAGAGCGCGTCCACCCGTCCGCCTGTAGGCTTCTGGCGTCTGCCCGCCCCCCACCACTGCACAGCAGGAAGATCTGGAGCTGTGCCCCTGCAGCTGTAACATGTGTTTTTCCCTGCAACAGCAGCCCTACAGAGTCAAGTCGTCCAGACGCTGCCCGTCCCACCTACGGCCTCCAGAGGCTTGGTGAGGACGGGTGCGCTTTATTGAAACACAGGCCACATACCGATCCCACAGCTTGCCCAAATACGCTTCACAGCCAGATCGCAGGTCATAGACATGTAAGCAGTGCTCCAATTTTGGCCTTCACGTTGTAGGCTCTGACTTTTGCAAGCTTTCGGCCGTATTGGTGCCCTCTTGGAGATTCCTAGAGGCTCCATTTGGGGCTCTCCTGAGGTGCTCTGGAGAGCCCGTGGGGCTTGTTCGGGGTGCTCCTGGGCGCTTTTTTTCCTGAGTGGCACGTGCTGCAAGTGCTTTTGATATTCTCAGAGGTGGCCAGATGCGGTCGGGTCGTCGTCCCTGTAGGCCTGAGGTGTCGTGTTGTGCCGTGTCGCGTCGTGGTGGGGGCAGACTCGCGCTTTCGTATTCGAGAGTTTTCGTACAGGCCTCGGAAAAAGTTAGCGAACGCATGCCACATTCATCCGTCAACGCCTCCCCCTCCCCCCAATGTTCAAAGTTGGCGGTGGGTCTGAGGAGGTGTACTTCGACCGCAGTCTCCCCCGCGCGTGCCAACATTGAGTTTGGGGTGGAGGGGGAGCGTTCAGTAATTGTTTCCCTCTACGTACCATGCGGTGTCGTGGTGCCACGTCGTGCCGTTGTGTCGTGGTGCCGCCGTGCCGTGCGGCGTGGTACTGTGCCCTGGTGCGTTTGGGCTTACCAGCCTCGAACGTATCCCTATCCCTAAGATTGACACGCCAAAAGGCGATGACAATCTTAGGGATTCGCCCTCAAAAAATAAGGGAACCCCTAAGATTGGCATCGTGATGAGGAGATGCCCAGCATAGGGATAGGGATATGTTCCAGGCTGGTAATGGGTTGCCCGAAGGGTGGCCCAGTGGGCGCCATGTCGTGCCCTTTTTGGCAATAGCCAGGGACCTGTGGTGACAATTCGCAGCCCATCCGTGTAGTTACGCCCAGGGAGTTGGTGGGATTCGGCGCTTCGTCGCTGCATCGCGACATGCGTTCCCTGATTAGTCCGGACAAGCGCTTAGGTTTCTGATGCCTAGAAGCTTCGATTCCAGACCAGTACGTGGCTAGGGGGCGTTGGCAGTGAAGCAAAGAGCATTGTCAGTGACTTCACGTCTCCTCTCCAGGTTCGACATGGCCATCATTGTCGTCACCCTCCTGGGCAATTTCGTATTGTCGCAGAACTCCTTGGC